CGAGCGATGTGCTTGGGGGTCAACAGTGATCAGATCGCAAGGAACTACTCGGCTACATCGACGACGAGGGCTTCATGTCCGATTGAGCATGATGGGTTGTGAAGAGAGGTCAACAGCACTCGAGGGCAGACGGAGTGGCCACGCCGACGCCCACGGAAAACAACTCCGACAACCAAGCCCACGCCCACACCAAAGTCCACGGAATTCAATTCCAACACGCGCCCAAGCACATAAGCACTCAATCAAGTTGGCGACAAGATATGCGGCGGGTGGCACGGTCGAGCTTGAACAACATCTCATCCCTTCATGTTTCGCAAAAGCGAGCAAGCGAGCGAGCGACCATGGTGAACAAGACCAACAAAACAGAAAATGGCATGGCGCAGTGGGTGAGTGAGCGAGTCTGCGCCGAGAAAAAAGTTCAAGTTCTGCGAGTGCCGACTGAGTGCTGGGACTGGGCGCTAGGCGCTGGGCGCTGGGCGCCAGAGTGTCGAGAACAAAGGTCAAATTCTGGGCATGCCTGAGTGCCTGTCGAGTGAAAAAAGTTGAAATTCTGGAAGTGTTTTCCGGTGTGTGCAGTGCCGAGTGCCCTTCTTGCCGCTGAGCGCCCAAAGTTCAAATCCCCCGATCTTGGTGGCCCTGGCGGAATTCTTCTCTTCTCCGTAGATTGGCATAACGAGCTCGGCCCGTTCCCCTCGACCGTTCACCCATATTTTATCTTCTTCGAGTTGTTCAGTTTCCGTGGAGAACCTCACCCACCGACGGCTGAGTGTGCTGGGACCGCATGCTGGGCCAGAGGCCAGTGGGCGGAGATCATGGCTGATATGTTCACCCCGATGGTGCACCCCAACATTTGCTCCGACGTTGTGCACCCCGACATTGTACCCCGTCTTTTTTAACCCCGACATTATGTGTGCCCCGTATGTGAACTCTGATCGTGTGAACTGAGATTTCCGCCTGTAGACAAAGGAAAGGGGTGGTGTTGGTGTCTGACCCAAGGAAGTGTTATTATCTTTTTGTTTTTCACAATCTCGCGTCCTTGAGACTTCGCTCAATGGCCTTCTTGCGCGGCGTATCAGGCATCAACGAGTTCCGCTTCTTCAAGATGTATGCAGTGCCGTCTCTGTCGTAGAGACCGAATTGCCACCGTCTTCAGTTGTGTCAGGGTAATATAGCTATTACCGGAGGCGGGGGCGGCATTTCTTTGTTCTTCTTTTCTTTCCTTTCCTCCTGCTTTTGTTTTTGGCTGGAGGGACCGTAGGCAGAGCAGAGTCCTGCCGGATTTGATCGTTGCAGATTCGCTGCGACTGAGCGGACTGTACGGCAGGGGATAAGGAGGAAGGGTAAAGGGTCAAAGTCGAGAATGCTCCTGTGACTGCACTAGGGCACTGGCGGTCCTCGAGCTCACGGCGGACGTTGAAATGGATGGCAAAGGTCAGGGTCGGCGACAGAGACAGGAGCCGAGACAAATGATATCATACACTCTCTTGAAAATCCGAGCAGGATGTTCTCCGGTTCTTCCAGGAGTGGCCGTCATTGGAGTCTGGGAATCCCGCCGGTGGTAGGTAGGCGTGGCGGGGGGTGAGGAAACAGAATTGTGCTGATGGATAGGAGAAACCTCTTTCCGCTGCCACTGCTGCTGGTGCCAACGCTGCCAACCAGGCCAGGACTGCCTCAGCCAGGACTCCAAGAGACAGGACAGAGGATGAAGCTGCCAACCAGGCCTGAACTGCCGTAATGATTGCAGGTGTGTAAGATTGGAGATTTCGCAAGGGGGTTTGCAGCAAGGGGTGTGTAAGTATGTATACATGCACCACGGGTGGGAGCGTGGGTGCAAACGACGCCAGCCCAAGTTTTGCTTTCCCTGATGAAAGTTCAAGGGCGCAGGCACGTAATCCCGTTAGTCAGACTACCAGGACATGCGGCGGGTAGGTGGTAGGTGAGTGGCACAATCTCGCTTGAACTATATCTCGTCCATCTATCAATGTACTTGTTCATCAGATTCTTCCTTTGCAGACGGGAAGCATTGGACAGCTCTCCCTAACCGTGGTATTGAATGGCTCACGGATTGGGCCCCGGCGACCTGTCAACCAACCTGAGTGGCTGTGGGACTGCCCGTGGCCACTTGCCTTTCGCGAGGGGGGGGGGTTGGGGGGGTTTGGCCGTATGCACCTGCACACTTGCTCTCTCACTCTTTTGCTCTCTCACTCTCTTGCTCTCTTACTCTCGTGTCGCTCGTCACTTTCAGCTCCACGGCTACGCATGAACGGTCTCTCCAATGTTTCAGAAGAAGCTGAAGCTAGGCCAGCCAGCCTCAGAACCAACCCTTTTGCCCCCCTTTCGGCCAGCCCCATCTCCTTGTCCGTGCCGACGATGCCGCATTGGATACTTGGTGGCTTCAATGCTGGTCGCTGGTCGCCCATTGGTGCCACTGCCACTTCAGCCCTGCCGCCTGGGTGACAGAAAAGAGAAAACAAAAGATCAGGTTCGTCTTCTGTTCCCTTCCTTGCAAGTGGTTAGGCACTCGTTGATGGCTACATGAAGGCCTTGGACGAAAATCTACGACGAGGCGAGGCGAACGAGGTCATCATTCTGTCTATCCATCCATCCATCCATCCGTCCATGACTCACCAAGGCGAGCGAGCGAGTGAGCGACGCCGGCCCGACCACAGCCCATCCCGAAATTGACTCCAATCGATCTCTCTCTCTCTCTCTCTCGGCCCAGCCAATCATCAATACACACCATATCTGCAATCTACAATCCGTCCTACGGCACCCAGATGGAAATGACAAAAGGAGGAAGGCAGATTACGTCGATGCAGACCGGTTGGGGGGTTCGGCGATGAGAATCGAGAGGTTTTGACACCGTCGGTAACTCACTCCCCACCTGAATCTGCCCCGGATCCAAACCCGTCAAGCAGTAGGTTCTTACCCGGCGACCACGATTGCCAGTGAAGGGCACCCGCCACCCCCCTGGACGACGACGCTATTGCCTCTCCGACAGCTCAGGCCAACCCTTACTTCGTCCATCAAGGTCCTCCTACCGACATCGCCGAGACGTCCTTGCTGCTCTCCTCCACGCCGGTGATAGCGTTGCGGACCTGGCTTATCGTTGGTTGGAAGCAAGCACCTCAACAACGCATCCAACGTGCCTTGTTGAGTCGCAGGATTGCGTGCCTGATGCCGACCATCTCCAGTGGATGATAGAGGGCATGGCCGTGGATGCTTGCCCCGGGTCAAGCGAGAGGCATGGCGGATACTGGGACAGCAAACGGTAAATGGCGTTGGTGCTACTGGCTGGGACAACAACCCACCTCCCAGCTCTGCACAGATCGAGCCGGCTACTCGAGTCCCACAACTTTTGGGGAAAAAGAGGCTGCATCCACCAAAGCCCGCCGAGGAGATTCTCTCTGGACGAGAAATCATCAACGGACGAGTCTGGGCCAGTGGCTTGAGCCGGCTATGTGGGCGGCCCTACCGTAACGATCTGGTTGCCATCCTGATCCACGTCGGGGACCACGGAGACGTGGGTGCCAACGCTGCCAGCTTCGGCCAAAGGACCCCAAGAGACAAGACGCCGAGATCCAGCAGGACAGGGGAGGCGCCAGCCAGACCAGGACGATAGCATGTGGCGAGATGCCGTTACACAAGGCACGGCTTTCGGTCGCAACTCCATGCAGCTCGCCGTGGCCATCATCAAGACGGCCACCCACGAAGGGGACCCGGTCCTGGTTGCCACTCCAGGCAATGTCGAGACGCGACAAGCCAAGATGGAATCCTTCAGAGAGGTCGTCGCCAATCAGGTCCTGGTGAAACCTGGCGATGAAGACGCAGAGACAACTGAAGATGCTTCTGTCAATGGCACCGACGGCCACCGCCTTCGCAGGATGTTGAGATTCAAAAGTTCAAGTTGGATTAGCCACGCCGACGCCTCCGGAAATCATCTCCGACAACGACGCCCCGCGCCCAAGTCCACGGAGTTCATTTCCGGCAACGCCGCAACGCCAGCACGCAAGGATGCCATCACGTTGGCTGCACGACATGCAGGCTGCACGATACACGATACACGAGCAAGACGGACGAGATGCTGCAGCAAGGCAGTGAGGGTGTCAGGTCAAGTCAGTGAGCGCCGTCCAGAGGGCAGAGGGCACTCGCAGGCACCCCTGGAATTTCAACTTGGGGCACCCAGTCTCAGCCTCGGTCTCGGTCTCAGTCTCAGTCTCAGTCTCAGCTCTCAGGCACTCTGCAGCCACACGCCCAGGATTGGAAATTTTGTTCTGGACGCCCAGCACCCATCAGCCATCACATCGGCAGCAACACATGCGAGATGTAAATACACGAGATGCAAATACACGAGATGCTGCAACAAGGCAGCGAGGGTGTGGACTTGGGTTGTGTGCCACTTTTTCCCCAAACGCCAAAAAGTTGGTCGACCACACACGCCCACACACTCGAGGAGCACGAAAAGTGGTGTTGGGGACGAAATGTCAAACAGTTGCACAAGGCCAAAAGCTGGGCCAAAAAGTTGCACAAAAAAAAGTGGTGTGTGGACAAAAAGTCCAAGAGTTGCACAAGTCCAAAAGCCCAAAAGTTACAAAAGTCCAAAAGGTTAGCCGATGAAACACACTCGCGCGCAGTCCAGGGCAGTCGGCGCAGACCAAAAGGCACCTGACTGACACTCATTTCCGGACCCCCCGTCTCAGCAGCGCCCTCAAGGCTCAGAACAAAGAGCAAAGGACACTCGCCGACCCTCCAACTGTTCCCTGGCGCCCAGCACCCAGTCCCAGCTCTCAGTCGGCACTCGCAGAACTTGACCTTTGCCCCTGGCCGCCATTTCCCGGCACCCCGCCCATAATTTCCAATCGACCTCCAAGCAGATGTCTCCGCACATCCAGTCCCTTGCGAATTGTGGTCATTTCCACCACCCCACCGCCAAATCCGGAAAACCACAGACATCCATGACAGATACTTGCGAGCTGCTCTGCGGTTCAACGCAAAGGCCTTCAAGATTCGTCGCCGACGACCCCTGCACGTGTCCCTGCTCGTGTCCCTGCACGATTCCCTGCAGGGTTCCCTGCAAGTTTCTTTGCATCCATGCTTTCTATAAGCCACTCGCGGCACCTCTCGACGGCTTGGGATCGAAGGCAGGCCTTTAAATCCTGTCGGAATTTGTCCCAATCGAAGGATGTCTTTTGAGGCTGGTCGGGAAAGAGAAAGTCGGCGAGTTCAAGTTGAGGAGATGCGTCGGTTGGAGGAATCAGAAACATTCGTCCTCCTCCTTGTTCTCGTCTCATTGGTTCCTTCCCTTGAGGGTCAAGAGTCCAAACCTCCAGAAAGACTTCCGAGATCTCTCCCACCCACTGATATCCTTTGTGCGTCACTGGGCCATATTCTCCGTCAAGAGAGAAATCTCCTTCGGTAATCTGACTCACAACCCGAGGTATCTCCAGTTTGTCACAGAGATCCAAGTCGACAGCCAGTGGGCATCGATATTTGGGGCTTTCTGTGACGTTGATCAGAACCACCATTGAACATGTGGGATGACCGACAAGCCAAAGTCGAGCGTCTGCTTGAAGATCGGGATATGTTTGAGATACACCAACCTCAAGAGTCCATTTGAGGTCATTGCGAGTATCGTCTTGATTTCTCATGAGAAGTCCCATATCTGGCGTTTTGACTGAATGCTGATACTCTTTGTCCCCCCCCCGCTTCTTCAGATTTGTATAAATCTTGACTCTGTCCTTGCGAGATGGGGAATAGGTTTGATTGAAGAGAAGAATCAAGTGTTCATGAAGAAAGCCGACAATCATTTCGTGGATAATGGAAGCCATGGTGGAGATTTTGAGAGTTGATGTCGCGGAATTGTATGAAATTCGAGGCCACCTGCAACAATAGTCAGCAAAGAACGTCCAAAGAAAGAGAAGGAGAAGAAGAGACTTCAAGTTCTCGTCGTCAAGATTGAACTCCTCCTCCAACTGCCACCACTCAGGCTGAGATATTCTGCAGATAAAGACCTCCTCGCGGTCGGAGTCTCTCACTGGCAATTGTTTGTTGAGGATGTGCTGCAGAAAGGAGCGAGCTTCTTCAATTCCAGGTGAAGGGTGTTGTGAAACTGCTGCTGAGGTTTGTTAATGACGGAAATCGAAGAGAGTGGAAAGATATTCTGACCATGTCGCTGAGATATAGGCGAGCCCGCCCTGCTGCCACTGCCACGGCCACTGCCTCTGCCTCTGCCTTGTGAATCCATATTTGGAGACGGTCGAACACAGCTGGAAGATATGGTGAACTCAAGTCTCGCCTTCCGACAAGGGAGAAGGTCCAAGATGGTGCGGTCAAGCTCCGCTGGTCAACAAGAGACAAGAGACAAGTCTTATCCTGGAACGAGAAACAGATGAGAGAGAGAGACAGCAGATGACAAGTCTCACCCACGGATGAGAGAGAGAGAGATGAGAGAGAGACAAGAGACCAAACGGGGGGCTCAGAGATGGGGTGAAAAGGGCAAGACGACAAACGACAAAGGACAAAGGACAAAGGGACGCGCGCAGTGAGCTTCTTAAAGCTCTGGTTGCAGCTTTGAGGGGTCCGAGCACGTGTCGGAATGTTTCATTCCTGGTCATCTCCCGGGTGATCTTCCTGGGTAACACTCAAGCCTGGACCGCAGCGTGGCAAGATGACATTCCCGCGCAACCCTTTGCCGTGCGCACCAAGGTTGCCCCAGAGACGTTCGGTGTCTTGTTGAGACATCTGTGATGGGGAGGGGGAGTGAGGAGTGAGCGGGCATGGACGAGCCCGGGGCCGAAGTTGAGCCGGACGCGAGGCCTGAGGTGATATGGGACTGGAGAGAGGGAAGCGGGTGCCGAGATTCCGACGAGGAAACCGAATTGCTCTGACGGACGGGAGAAACCTGAGAATCACAGACCAGAGGCTGTCAAGCCTTCTGTTACGAACCGACCATATGGGAGGCTAAGGGAGAAGACAAGGAGGAAGGTTAACCGAGGGAAACATGCCGGACGCCAGCGTCTTGGCAACATGTTGGCAAGACCAGGCGGGGCAACAGAGCAGCATGCCTAAACAGGCTCAGGAACATGTTGACATGCTTGACATGTTCGACAGAGCAACATGACAAACATGTTTCCAAGTGGTATATAGCCGCACTCAGTTACATAGTTCTCCTCGTAGTCAATAACAGTTACACAGAATCGAGTTCCTCACGATCATCTGCTATACGTATAGGTCTGCATACTATACACTTGGTTTCCAGTCTCAGCTACATCGCCCCACCCCTACTATATCACCAAGTAAACCACCTCGGGTTTGCCTGTGGACACCTCACGTGTCATATAGCAGCTCGTAACACCTTCGTCCAGTCGACCGCCCACCCAGATGCCTGACATTTTTCGCTTGGATTCCTTGGGAAACTCTCGCCCCTGGAAGTTGATATGATGGAATGCACGATGGGCTCACGCAATGCCATCCGATAGAGACGCCATTTTTCTCCATCGGTGCTGGAAGCTCCCCACAACTGCGACACAGGCGTCTGGTTTCCAGACCAAGATCCGTGGCTTGAGACGCTTGTGGTCAACACACCGACACGGTCCTTGTCCACTGCATCTCTCGTGTCCATGATCTTGGCCTGGCCCATCAGGCAGAAGCAGCCGTTTCTCTGGACCATTTCCAGGCGGTGGGTGAACACCATCTTCCGAAGAGACGTGTATCTGAAGAAGCTTCATCCAAGCTACCCAAGAAGAGAAGCTATCATGTTCTAGGAGTTGGGTAGAGCAGAGTAGAGTGAGCAGGAAGAGGATGCCAACGCTGCCAACCAGGCCAGGACTGCACTGAACGGTGAGCGAGTGTGACGATGGAACATGGACGTGGAGATGGGGGTGGTGTTGCCGCCGCATTGATTCGCGAGACAATTTCGCGAGTATGATACGCAAAGATGTGCTAACGAGCTGCAGATACGCGAGATGCAAAACTCCCCACTGCATGTCTTGACCAACCAACCTGAGTGGGTGTCGAAATGCCGTGGCCACTTGGCCTTTGTCAGGGGGAAGGGGGGAGGGGGCCCTTGGCCGTTTGCATCCGTTGTGCTCACTTGCCCACTTACACACTTACCCTCTCAATCTCTCAATCTCTCACTCTCTCACTCTCTTATACACCTGCACACCTACACACCCATAGCAGTCTCTTGCCCTTTTGCTCCCTTACTCTCTTACTCTCTTCCTCTCCACTCACGGATCCCAGTCAGTCATTTTCTCTCGTCTCGCTCGTCCTTTTCAGCTCCACGGCTACGCACAACAGCCTCTCCAACGTGTCAGCAGAAGCTGAGGGAACCAACCCTCCTGCCCTCCTTTCGGCCGGCCTCACCTCCTTGTCCGTGCCGACGATGCTACGTCGGATGCTTGGTGGCTCAATGCTGCCGCCGGTCGGTGCCACTTCAGCCCTGCCTGGGTGACAGAAAGAGAAAGGATTGGGTTCGTCTTCTACTTCCCTTGCCAATACTCGAAGACCGAGACGTTTGACGCCATCAAGAACATCGATCGGTACAACCCAGACTAGACTGTGAGAACGATTGACATCACCTTCAACCAGTGGTCATCATTGTGTCTGATGACTCTGACCGGACAAGATCTGAAGACAGAATGCATCCTCGAGATGAACCAGCAGGGGGCTCATTGGAGAAGTCAAGGAAGTTCAAAACAAAGCACAGCACAGCACAGTCAGTTAGTGAGTGCCCTGGCCTGCATTGACTGCACTGAACTCCCTCGGTCCAATGACTGACTGACAAAGACGCAGACTCTCACAGACATCCAGCGTCCAATCCAAACTACACCTTTCTTTATCCATACGACTGTTTGGCACCGCCGTGGGCCTTTCTTTGTCTTGGGGCGACGTTCACACAACCTCAGTTGCACATACGGGGCACACATAATGTCGGGGCTAAAAAAGACGGGGTAAACAATGTCGGAGCAAATGTTGGGGTGCACCATCGGGGTGAACATATCAGCCATGATCTCTGCCCTCTGGCCCAGCATGGGGTCCCAGCACACTCAGCCGTCGGTGGGTGAGGTTCTCCACGGAAACTGAACAACTCAAAGAGGATAAAATATGGGTGAACGGTCGAGGGGAACAGGCCGAGCTCGTTGTGCTAAACTACGGAGAAGAATTCCCCCAGGGCCACCAAGATCGGGGGATTTGAACTTTGGGCGCTCGGCGGCAAGAAGGGCACTCGGCACTGCACACACCGGAAAACACTTCTAGAATTTCAACTTTTTTCACTCGACAGGCACTTAGGCATGCCCAGAATTTGACCTTTGTTCTCGACACTCTGGCACCCAGCACCACGTACGCCGGAAACCACTTCCGGAATTCCAACTGTTCCCTGGCGCCCAGCGCCCAGCAATGCACCACGGGGTGCAAACGGCTCAAGCCAAGTTTTCCCCTGACGAAAGTTCAGGTCAAGTGGAGAGGCCACGCCTACGCCCACGCCCACGGAATTCCGACAAGCACGCAAACAAGTTAGTGCAAGACACGAGCGAGTGGGTGGGTGGATGAGTGCGATGCTGAGACTGCGCTGGAGCAACTATGCTAGACTGCGGTGGACTGGCTGCGATGGACTACTTGACAGCGTTGCGGTGCTGTGCGATACCTTTGGGCAGAAAGGATGCACCTCAGGTGGATGGTGTCTGGTGGATTCATCTATACGAAAAGGAGACCGAGCGAAGCCTGCGCCAGAGACTGCCAGCGAATATTTCTGTACTCTACGACTTGGTCGCCGAGCAGAACAATATTCCCCAGTGGTTGCGATAGGGCACAGTGTGAGTGTGCTCTGTATGCCGCAGCCACGGCTCTCAGAGAGACAAATCCTTTCGATCATGTTATTATTGAGGGCGCTGGGTGGATGAATACATCCTACATACTGGAGCAGAGTGATTGGCCATAAGAAACCGATGCCGCTGGGGCAGCTGTAGTTCCAGAACGTGAACCTGGATAGCATTCGACGTAATTTGCCCAGATCCCTTCCAAGCTGTCCATGTCTTGCCGCGAAGCCGAAGAATACCGCTCTTGTTGAACCTCTTAATTGAATGGAATGGAATGGAAGTTTATGCAATTCTCTTTTTGTTGTCATGTACAGTGCAATGCCTCTTAAGCAAACAAAAAGGTTTAACCTGACGCCCATTCACCACCCAAGATGTGCCAGGTCTGAAAAACCAGCTGAAAGAAAGCTCCCTCTGCAAAGGCCGCCTTTCTATGCCATTTCAATCGTTAATTTGTCCGGGTTAATGGCCGACAAAAGAATTTCAAACTCATTAGAGGGCCATGTTGTCTAACTTGTTTCTGTCCACCCTTCCATATGCACCCATGTATACACCCATGCCCCGCTGCAGAGTGCAGAGTGCAGAGTACTGAATGCCGAAGACCGCCTCGATTCCGCTTGGTCGCGCTTTGCTTGTCGAGCACCAAACCATCCCTGAGCACAGTCATAGCACTTTCATATGCCCACACTGTAAACAAGGAACCGCCAGACTCAGATGGAGGTATTGCAGGCAATTTGGCCTCCTCCAGACGTCGACGTGGTGGAATCCCGGGTACACATGCATATGATATGGCCCGGGAGGTGTGTCCGCACGCTCAGATTGCGCCCACAGCGCCACAGCACCTTCGACCGCCAGGCTGAGGACGGGTATGAGGCAGAGAAGCCAGCAGCAAGCGATGATGACTCTCACAACCCCCCGAAGAATCTACCCGGACCCATGGCGGGAAGCGAGGCCGGCGTGGTGGAGAGGTAACCGCACCGACGGTGAGAGGTGGCAACCTCGAGGATGTTCTGGCCTCTGCTAGGGGCAGTGTCCCGCCCGTACCGGCCTTGCAGCTTAATTTCGGGCAGCTGGGTGGGCGGTCGACTGGACGACGGTTTGACAGCCTCTGGTCTGCGATTTCCGTGCAGCGAGACGCCTGGATTTGGAGCGCTCCTCGCAGTCTGGCTCTTCTTCACGCTGGGCTCCCCAGTCTCGATGTTCTCAAACGCACCGTCCCCAGAGGGGTTCGGCACTGATGTCGTTCCATCTCCAAATCGCTGGCAGGGGTCGATCTTCAATCCCGTGTGGCTCACGAAATGATCGACACGCCGGGTGCGTGGAAGCGACACACTCGATCTCGACAGGAGAGCTGTTGTTGGATTGAGCCGCCTGCTCCTCAGCGGCTGGACCGGACGAGACGGACGCGTCAGACGACACCTGCGATTGTCAGAGGATGTCGGTTGACAATATGCAGGACTGCCAATGCTAGGCTTGCTTACCTTCGCGTTCAATGTCCCTGACGTTAACTTTAGCCATAAGCGACGCATCTCAGTTGTTTCCATTATACCAGCTGTTCGTTTGAATGATGTAGACCTTGCTCTGCCTTTTGTCGCGCGCCTCTCTTTCCATTTCCACCTCTGCCACTAGCTTCTTAACGTGGTCCTGCTGTTGTGCGACCAGGTCAGAGATCCAGAGGTGCTCGTCGAAATGATTTTGAACTTGACGGATAGGGTCGCTTCGAGAACACCAGAACAGCAGGTCTTTGGCTTTTGCGTACTCCATCGCCCTCAAGATGGAGTACGTTAAGACCTGGTAAGGCACCCAATCCAGCATTCCTGCTCATCATGGCGACGTCGTCCTCGAGATCTTGCATCTTTCTCGCCAATTTCTTCTTCAAGATGGTATTCACCCGCAGACGCCAACCATGCCCGGACCTGAGTCTCAGGAACCTCTCTCCTCCAGCTCTCCGCACCCTCACCCTGATCTACCTCCATCCTCACCCGAAGTGCCGGACGCGGAAATGGCGGATGTTGCCCCTGCAGAACCCCAATCTCGTCCTCCAGATTTTCAATCTTTCTCGCCAACTTCTTCTTCCAGATGGCAACATCGTCCTCCAGATCTTGAATATTTCTCGCCAACTTCTTCTTCAAGATGGCATTCGTCGTCTGCTTAAGCAGCTCTCTCTGCTCCGCAATCTTGTCTCCGCAAACGCTGTTCTTTGGGTAGTATTCGATTTTCTTCATCGGTGAAGAAATGATGTTCGCAGTCGGCGTCTGGAGCCCTGTAGTGAGGGACGACTGAAGCTCAATGGGTGTGTAAGTGAGTCCTCCTCGGCGGCCGTCGTTGGCTGCCCCTTTTGACCGCCCGACCCGCGTTTGGCCACGCTCCCACTGACGCTCAGACCAGTTTTGCCCCAAGAAGGGATACACGGCCAAGCGATTGCAGGCTTACTGGGGAACTTGAGTTTCAGGGATGGGCGCTTTACCTTGTCAGGGGGTGGAAGAGGCGCGTCGGACATCTCGAATTCGGCCTCGTCGCTGTCGTCGTGGGCTACAGAGTAACTGTCGCAGGAAGGCGAGGTAGGTTCATTCTCCTCGTTGGAATTACAAGACGACAGGAGAATCGTCGAGGAAGTGCTGGACTTCGGGCTCTAGTTTGACAGTGACGGACTTGTGTCTGCCTTTCGTAAGGGATGGTTTGGGACGGCTCTTTCTGATGCCGGAAGATGGATGGGGTTTGAGGATGGATCTCGCCACCAGCTGGGCGTACGCTCCGACCGGTGTTTCATGTACCGACCGTCCTATCAATCAATCTTCGACCTTGGAACAAGCCCTGATCCGAGACCACTCGGCGCAGATGAGGTTGCAGAAGCTCCTGGCGTTCTCGATGTAGCTGCCGGACCTCGACAATCTGGCTGCAGAACTCTAGGTCTTCTAACAGATGGGATGGACGCGTTCGTCAATGGCTCAGATCCGCTGGATGGGGGTATAGCAGGTGGACGAGTGCCCCGCGAGCCCATGCCACAGGAAGGCGGTGGTGCTTGGATGGCTGGCGGCGCTGAAGGCTTGAAGGTTCCAGGTGCATGGGTGTTTGACTCGACATGATCGTGGATGGCTCCATGGGTGAGGACTGGCCGGTCAACTGGTCGAGGAATTGAATGCCGGATGGGATGTTGGAATGACTCGCACTGGGTGAGGATCATCAGAGGACTGGAGTGGAATAGCTTTAAGGTCCGTAGAGGGCGGTAATTTGCAATTCATCATCGGCTGCGGCGTCGAAGCTCCCAGCAATGATAACAAAGTCTGGGTCAAATTCATTGGCGATGGGCATGACGACGTTTTGGAACGCGTACATGTAATCACCGCCACCCATGCCTTTCGACGGCCAGGGGATGTTGACGTTTCTGTCGCAGACGTAAGTGTTTGCCACAATGGAGTGAGTGAAAGTTCGTGGGCTTACTTTCCCTCGCCAGCATCAATGCCACAGTGATCCATGTCGCCTTCGTTCCCTGAAGGATAGAAGGTTCCGTTCATATGGACATGCAAAGATATGTAGAGAACATTGGGGTCATCGTAGAATGCTTGTTGGCAGCCAGCGCCACCTCGAATCGGCCTGGTGAGATGTCAATGCTGATGGTATGCCGGAGACTCTTGCCAGGATGAATGACCTGTCGACCTCCGTCCTGCGGTACTTAGCTAAATAGTAGCCTTTGTCGCCGAATTGGTGGGAAAATGTATGAATAATTCCTTCAGTCCTGGCCTGCTCCACGAATGCGGTCGACCAGCTGCGGGGACATTGGTCGATTGAAGCTGCGCACCTGAAAGATCAACTTGTGCAGATCACGTCCACCGCCGGCGCTGTATAGATGCCACATCTCCGGCGTAACTCGAAATTCGTGGCCGCCTTTCTTCAGGTATCCGCGATCTGTAGCATCCAATAGAGCGTCCATCAAGCATCTGACCTCTGCACTGACTGCGCTGGACTGCCCTTGAGTATGTTTGACGTCCCAAACACTGACTTTTTGGCAACTTTTGTCCGAGGATTTGCGGGATGAAAGCGTAGCGCTCATATATGTGGAAGAGCTTGATACCGAACAACGCCACGACGAGCGAGATGACAGCCGCGATGATGGTGTCCACTATGACCGTCACAAAACCGTTGGCCGCAGCAGGATCCAGGGCCAGCGCAAACGGTTGCTGGGCTGTGGACCAGGATCTGCCGCACGGGTGCCCAGGCCAGCCCATTTAACCCACGTTGCGGTCTGGGTGCGGACAAGGTGCTGAGGCGTCCCTCCGCAAATCCTTCCTTGCTGATTTTGCATGGGACAACACGAGTCTTGCTATGGGCGGCCACAACCAGCCAAACCAAGGGTGATTTCATAAACCCTACTCGAGGAGCACTAAAAGTGGTGTTTGGGTCGACGGTTGGACTTTTGATCTTGATCGGCGTCGCCCAGATGTTGGTGTTTGACGGTGTATTGTTTCGGAAGTTCGATTGATCCAGCCTTTCTTCCGGAAGGACCGCGTAGACTCCAATTGCCCAGGTGTCTTTGGAGGACTCATAGGTAACGTCGTGGAAGAACCTTTGGGCGTCGAGGGCTCGTCCGAGAAAGTTGCACATTGTGGTAATCCCCCACTGCAAATACTGCCAACAACTTGTGGTTAAGGAGCGCCGCAATCGCTGTGCTGTGGATAGTATTCGATTTATTCATCGGCGAAGAAGTGACGTTCGCAGTCAGCGTCGTCCGGAGCCCTGTAGTGAGGGACGACCGAAGCTCAATGAGCGTGGAAGTCTTTCTGGGCTGTCGTCGGCCCGTCATTGTCTGCCCCTTTTGACCGCCCGATCCAAGTGGATGGATGTATGCCGACGTGCCTCGCGCCGAGCGACCAGCTATGCTGCGTGACGTTCAAGAAACGGCCTCGAGGCTGGGGCGAGGGCCCGGCCTTCGCATCATTATCGACACCACGGCCATCCTAGGCCAGGGCCACAACCTGCAACTGGGTAGTCCTCATGGAGCCGTCCCGACATGCAATGGCCGATGATGATCTCTGTCGCCGGCGGGTATATTGGCTCTGCGAAATCGCAACCATCACCCGCCTCGGAAGGGGTCTCGACAACAAACTGCGGTTGAATCACGCCATCATGGACCAAAACTCCAGTAATGGTGTCAATTTGCGCTTGGTGGATCCTGCACCTCGGGTTTGCCACGGCCGGGCACACATTTGGCTTGTCTGCTTTCACCTTGACATAAACGCCATTTCGCAGCCGCTGCCGGCGCGGTGTCTGTGCGACGGGAGGGTCATACATGTTCATGCTGGCCCGCTGGGAACGGCTTAACTGAGGAGAGGTGGTCATGCTCGTTTGCCGGTCCAGATGGGGTGGCGTCGTCGAGCTGGTGCGGCGTTGGAAGCCTGGATGCTGTCGTCGAGCACCGTTTGTTGCTTGACTGCCACCCTGCCTACTCTTTGATGCTCACATTGCCGGTCGAGGAGATGGAGCGGCGTCGTCGAGCTAGTGCGGCGTTGGAAGCCTGGATGCTGTCGTCAAACTGTTGCGGCATTGGAAGCTTGGTTACTGTCGTCAAGCTGGTGCGGCGTTGTAAGCCTGGTTGCTGTCGTCGAGCACCGTTTGTTGCTTGACTACCATCCTGCCCACCATCCTGCCCACTTCTGATGCTCACATTGTCGTTCTCCTCACATGATGGAATGAGCTCACTAGCAATGCTGCGGACGAGTACCGCAGAATCTGAATAAGGAAGCTCTCGAACCACATCGTAAGACCGTATTGGCCGAGAAGGAAACCTGGGTAGCTTTTGGCCCAAAGTATCGAACACCTGCGAGCTTCTCGCCATCGAGGCCGCAAGAGGTGGCGATAGTCGAAGTAACTTCTGAAGAGGCTCCAGAAGGCTGTGTCGGCGTTTATGGCAGGTTGATGCAAGCTCTAGGCGGAGACAACGGCCCCCATGGGAAACTGATTGTCGATTGCTGCCACTGCGACTGCGTGAACTGGGATTGTTTGACCTCAGATAGGTGCTGCGTCAAGGATCAACAAGTTTAGCGACTCCGCTGGCCTGACTGCGGTGGACTGACTGCGCTGGGCTGTGCTGGGCTTTGTTTTCTCTTGTTGACCATGTTCGCTTGCTCTTCCATCTTGCCCGCCACCCCTGGTGGATTCGCTGGTCCCCGCAGATTCGCAGCCGGAAGGTGCAGAACTAGGTAGGATGTATCCACGCCCGATCGTGCTGATGCCCGTGGCTCTTTGGGGATGTCCAAATCGTGCTTAGTAGGGTATTTCGAAGATGTGCCCAGAGGGACGTGATGTGGGTTCCAGCTCCGCTGGCCCGTCCGGTAGAAGAAGAACTATAGATTCTCGGGCTGGCACCTCACACTGAAGAGCATTGTGGAGGCAGACACGCATTCTGGGTATTGGGTCAGCTTTGATAAATGCAACATGGGACCCTGAGTATACCTAAAGGAGGTAAGGAGGCGATAGAGAGGCGACGCAGGGGGTGGCCTCTGCTTAACGGAAGGGCTGGGACGCTTATCTAGGACCGGGAATGGGACCTAGCTCCTTCGCTGTACCCAACCAGATAGGGATAAGGCTGTTCTGGTGCTGGTATAGCTGGCAAAGATAGCTAGCAAAGACGGCCATGTCATTTGGGAGGGAGCAGCATCTGGTCCGCCAGGTGCGTGTTACCCGCCCAGCTTGCGAGTCTAACCCATTCCACACTTCTCCCTCCCAGCATCGACTGCCACGAAAGGCACGGTGCCCAGGGGCTTGGCACTGCACGATATATTTGCTGTTCAGTTCCTTCGTTCCTCCTGGGGCAATCAATCAATTCATTGCCTACGCTTCCGGCTTTTCCTTGTCCGGTTGAGCACTCAATCGGCAAGTGCTCAGCCCTGTGGTGAGGAGGGTTATCATCGTGTTCGTGCTGCAAGAGCCTAAATCAGCGGGTCTGAGGAGCACTTGGCCCAGGTATGTCCTGTCCTGTCCCTACTGCGTCTGTGGCCAAACCAAGACCGACATGATGCCATCGGACTGTCCAAACAAGGAGATTCGAGCCTATCGGTGGTGACGAGGACCATATGGCGAAGGATTACCCATCCCATCATATATCCAAACGAGACTGTCTAAGCAAGAGCATGAGGAGTACTTGGCCCAGGTGTGTGTCCTGTCCCTACATCTGTGGCCAAACCAAGACTGACACGATGCCGTAGGAGTGTCTAAACAACGAGATTCGAGCCTGACGAAGACCATCTAGCTCGAGATTGTCCTCAGTCTCAGCCTCGAAAGACGACTTGTAAGTTCTACACGGTAACGAGGAAGACTATCTGGCATGAGATTGCCCTGAGTCTCGAACGATGACTTAGAACATCAGCACAGCAGCGAGGAAGACCATCTGGCTCGAGATCGTCCTCGAAAGAGGATTACAGCATCTATAATAAGGCCATCTATACAGCAACAAGGAAGGCCATCTATAACGAGATTGTCCTACCTCAGCCTCGAGATTGTCCGCAGCCTCGAAAGACGACTTGTAACATCTGCAACGAGGAAAGGAATCTGCAACGAAGGTCACCTGCAACGAGGCATCATCTGCAACGAGGCAACATCTGCAACGAGACAACATCTACAACGAAGACCATCTGGCCGAGATTGTCCTCAGCCTCCAGAGACGACTTACGACATCTGTACAGCAACGACTTGCAACATCTGCCCCAGCCTCGACTTGCAACATCTGCAACGAAGACCATGCAACGAGACAACATGTGCAAGGAAGACCATCTGGCTCGAGATTGTCCTGCCTCAGCCTCGAACGACGACTTACAACATCTACAACGAGGACGACCATCTGTAACGAGACGACATCTACAACGAAGAAGGCCATCTGGCTCGAGATTGTCCTGAGCCTCGAACGACGACTTGTAACATCTGCACAGCAATGACATACAACATCCACACCGCAGCGAGGAACACCAGCTGGCTCGACATTATCCTGCCTCGAAACAGAACTTGCCGTAACTGCGGACGAAGACCATCTAGCTCGAGATTGTCCTGCCTCAGCCTCGAAAGATGACTTACAACATCTACAACGAGACGCCATCTGCAACGAGGAAGGCCATCTGGCTCGAGATTGTCCTGAGCCTCAAACGATGACTTGCAACATCTGCACAGCAACCAGGAAGGCCATCCAGCCGTCCTCGGTCTCAGCTCCGAGATTATCGTCAGCCACAAGATTGTCGTCAGCCTCGAACGATGACTTGCAACATCTGCAACGAGGAAGACCATCTAAAACGAGATTACACTGCCTCAGCCTCCTCGAGATTGTCCACAGCCTCGACTGCAACAAGGAAGACCATATATGGCTCGATGTCCTGACCCTGGAACGATGACTTACAACATCTACCCCAGCCTCGACTTGCAACATCTGCAGGGTAACGAGGCAACATCTGCAACGAGTAAGGCTATCTGCAACATGGAAGGCTATCTGGCTCGTGTAAGTCTCCCACCATTCTCTCTCAGGACCATTGCTGTCCGTTCTGCTGATGTGCCCTCCAGCTACGAACGATGTCCTATGCCTACCGGCCGCCCATCGTACCTTCAATCGGCCGGTCGTCCTACGAACCATATCAGAGATTGTTTAAACATACAGAACGAACTATAAAAGAGATGGAACCTTAATACATACTTGACCCTGGGGTAAATACACATAACAAACTATGAAAGAGATGGATACTTAATAGATACTTGACCGAATACACAGCATGAACTGTGAAAGAGATGCATACTTGATGGATATTTGACCCTGAGGCATCCTGATATCCACCCAAGCATCGTCCAGACCATACCACTACCACCTTGACAAACGGCTGGACATCAACGAAGACCGGGGATACTCGGTATTGAACCGCTTGTCAACATCCTGACGCCAGAAACTGTGTCGATCTCTCGCCCATACCGTCATTGAACCGTTCTATCTGACATCGGCTGATCTAAGCGGCTCCGATCGTCACCCACGTCCCTACCTGCGCAGCCACGCCCGTCCACCCTCGATCTACCCGCTGCCGCCGATGGGTCGGCCTCTTTTTGTCCTCGTTCCCGCTCGCCGTTGCAGTGGCGGAACGGCAACGTGTCGTTGGTCTAGATCCACGGCATCGCCTCTTTATCGACCACTACAGGCAGAAGCTTCTCTAAGGCTGGCCGTAGGCGAAGGCTTTGCATTATCGATGCCATGCCGGAGTTGTTTACACACCTGGTGCCCGCTGTTACAACACGGGACAGCCGACCTGGAAGGCGACTGCAGACTCAAGCACCTACCTGGCGACTCCATCTACCGCCGCCACCGCAGCATGAATCGACAGAAGACACAGTCATACAAGATCTGCCGCCTCAGATGGGAGTTCTACAGTGAATGCGGCGCTCAATGTATGATGCGGATGGGGAGGGACCTGGGTAAGGACCTCGAAGTGCTTTGGGAGGCCATGGCTCGGTTCAGCCTCGCCACGGTTTACCCAATGCGTCCTCCACCGGTACATGCGACTTGACGACGACGACGACGAGGGCTTCATGTCCGATTGAGCATGATGGGGTCGTGAAGAGAGGTCAACAACACTCGAGGGCAATTGGACGCCGACGCCCAAGTCCACAGAGTTGATTTCCGACACCCACGCCATCAGCCATCAGCCATCAGCCATCACATCGGCTGCAAGACATGCAAGATGCACGGTGCACGAGCACAGACGACATGCACAGGGGGCAGCGTTGGCAGGAACCGATTCTTCGATCGATCGATTTTCTTGGCACTCCAGAGACTAAGGAATCGATTCCTGATCGAACTTGATCGAAACCCTATAATCTGATTGGTTAGGGTAATATTATTGCGTTCCGGATATCCGAATATAGTATAGCTTATTTATCTATACTACTTTAGGATAGATTCTATAATATTCTTAAGCGAGGAAAAGTCTAGTCACGTGTATCCACTTTTTCTCGAGTAGAATACGTACTAACTTAAAATAGTAGCTACCTAAGCCTAAAGAATCGATTCCAGCCAACCCTGTTCCTCCTTGGTTACTGTTCCTGCTACATCCTGCAGGCTCTCCTGCGATCGATTCTGCTGCAGCGACTGCACGCCGACCTCAACGGTTTGGTTTGGTTTGGTTTATTTTTGTTGTTGTTGGCAGCCGAGCGAGACAGCGTTACGGCCAGAACACCGCGCCCATCGACGCCGGCGGCCCCTGGACAGGCCTCTGCGTTCTTGCACGTTGCATGCGGACGGGTTCGATCCCCGTACAATGGCAGCGGCCAACCTTTGAAGCTTGAGGGGAAAGCTGGGTTGGGGGGCCTGTCCCTGAGCTGCTCCACGAATGCGGTCAAGCAGTTGCGGGGACATTGGTCGATTGAAGCTGCGCACCTGGAAGATCAACTCGTGCAGATCGCGTCCACCGCCGGTGCTGTACAGATGCCGCACCTCCAGCGCAACTCGAAATTCATGGCGGCCTTTCTTCAGGTATCCGCGATCCGTAGCATCCAGTAGAGCGTCCATCAAGCATCGTCCCACGCCTGATTTGCGGGATGAAAGCGTAGCGCCCATATGTTGGTGTTTGACGGGTGTATTGTGGGCGTCGAGGGCTCCACCGAGAAAATTGCGCATTATGGTATCCATCACCCTCCTCGGATGGGGTCTCGACAACAAACTGCTGTTGAATCACGCCATTTCGCTGCCGGTGCGGTGTCTGTGCGACGGGAGGGTCATACATGTTCATGCTGGCCCGCTGGGAACGGCTTAACTGAGGAGAGGTGGGCATACTCATTTGCCGGTCGAGGAGATGGGATGGCGTCGTCGAGCTGACGCGGCATTGGAAGCCTGGATGTTTTCGTCGAGCACCGTTTGTTGCCTGACTACCGTTTTGTTGCTTGACTGCCACCCTGCCCACTTTTGATGCTCACATTGTCGGTCTCCTCGCATGATCGAATGAGCTCACTAGTAATGCTGCGGACGAGTACCGTAGAATCAGAATAAGAAAGCTCCCGAATCACATCGTAAAGACCGTATTAGTCGAGAAGGGAACGCCCTTCTTCTGTCGAGTCGCAGATCCTGCCGATGATACGAAGTAGGTTCGGACGGATCGCGGGTTTGCTGTGACCCTAGGTAGCCTTTGGCCCAAGGTATCGAACACTCGCGAGCTTCTCGCCATCGAGGCCGTAAGAGGTGGCGATAGTCGAAGCAACTTCTGAAGAGGCTCTGGAAGGTTGTGTCGGCGATTATGGCAGGTTGATGCAAACTCCGGGCGGAGACAACGGCCTCCACGGGAAACTGATGTCGATTGCTGCTCTAACGGCCATGTGAAGTGGGGTTGTTTGAACTTGGATTGTGTGCATTTCCGCTGAAGCACGTCTTGTCTCCCTGGTGCCTCTTCCTTGCTGCTTCGCCTCCTAGTCAAGCCGTGTTTGATGAATGAGGCTCCCTTCACCACCCCGCCGCCCACCTTTCCGACACCTTTCACGGGTGCACCAATTACCTTCCCGGCTGGCGCGAAGGTACCTGAAAAGGTTGATGTCCCTTGCCGGGCTCGGGTGATGTAGTCGGGTCCTAGCCTGGTTGACAGCCTCCTGTCCTGCTAGATCCCAACGTCTTGTCTCTGGAGTCCTTGTCTCTTGAGTCCTTTGGTCGAAGCTGGTAGCGATGGGCGGCGGGGTATATCGAGAGCGTTCGACATTGACAACGGTCTCAGCCCTCCTTGCGTAACGCCGTGTGTAGCTGGAGTTCGATATGCTTTTCTTGAGGAAGGCCGTATGTAGCTGGAGTTCGATATGCTCTTCTTGAGGAAGGCCGGATGTAGCTGGAGTTCGATATGCTCTTCTTGAGGAAGGCCGTATGTAGCTGGAGTTCGATATGTCGGTATCGGGCTCAGTCCTTTTCTTTCTTCTTTGACTTGTTACTCAAACCGCCACCAGTCTGCGAAGAAGCTGAAACCTGCTTGCGTATCGAAGACGAGAGGGTTGGCCAGAGGACTGATCTTGACAGTAAGTTTGCTGGATTCTTGACCTGGGCGTATGGATCGTTGCTTGCAGCATTGGGCGAGGGTGCTCTTCTGCGAAGAAGCTGAAACCTGCTTGCGTATCCAAAGCGAGGCCCCTGCCATCTTTCTCAGAGGAGGGCGGTGTCGAATCCCCAGCACCACTGGGAAACGACAGAGATGCGGGAGAGGTGAAGTCCTTGGGCTGTTACGCGGTGGACGGGTGAGTGGCAAGCGACTCCATGATTGCAGGGACGTAAGGTTGGTCGCTGCGGCGTAATAGAGCGGTCGCAGCTTCTGTATCCTTTCGATGAGAGAGATCGATGAAGGACGAAAGCAGTTTGGAGAGGATGAAAAACAGATCTGATGCCGGTAACCTCGGTGGCAAGGCGGAGCGTAGGCAATGGATGGATTGATTGCTAGGAGGAACGAATGGACTGAAACAGCCATCTATCCGTTGAGTACCAAGCCCTGGCACAGTGCTTTCCGTGACAATGGTGGTCCTTCCAGATGCCGATTTGGAGCAGCGTTGTCGGAAACTGCGCAGTGGCGCCGCAGGCATATAAGCTGCGCTCCCCCCCCTTTCGCATTGAGTCCCTACAGCCTCTCCGATCTCCCGCAACCTTTCCACCCACTATGCAGCAACGTCTTAGCTCACGATTCATTTCAAAGCACAAGGAAAATGTGAGATAAAGGCCAAAGCCTCCAATAGAGGCTCTTCCTGACGTTAACAGCCTTATAGATACAATCCAATCGGTGGTCACTCCACAATATACCTACATTCTTATAAACACTATCCTTTGGGAGTGGAGCAACAACTTGAAGAACGGTTCCCCACGAATGTCTCTCGTCTCCGGCGCCGATTTGACCCAACTTGGGTCCAGCAAATTTGGGCACACCGGCTCAACAGAAATCTGGGTTGGGTTGGGCCAGCAAGCAAGAACACCGCAATTCCCGAGTCGATCCAGAGGGACATGTCAGAGGCTTTGGCCATGACCTTGACCTACATTTCCACGATTCATCTCAAGCAAATCTCGGCGAACAAAGCACAAGGGAACGGTGAGATAAAGGTCGAAGACTCCAATAGAGGCTCTGCCTGACGTTGACAGCGTTACAGACACAATCCAATCGGTGGTCACCCCACAACATACCTGTATTCTTATTAACACCACAAACAACTTTGGGGTGGGAACAACAACTTGAAAGAACGGTTCCCCACGAATGTTGTCCTGTCTCTTGTCTCTCGTCTCCGGCGCCGATTTGACCCAACCTGGGTCCAGCGAATTTGAGCACACCAGTGGGCCAGCAAGCAAGAACACTGCAATTCCCGAGTCCAGAGGGACATGTCAGAGGAGGTTTGGGTGGGCCTTGGGACATTGTTGAAGAATCAGTAGTCGTTATTGAAGAAGCAGTGGTCGTTGTTGAAGAATCAGTTATAATACAAGTAGAAACTATATTTCCACCCACTATACAACATCGTCTCAGTTCCCCCTTTCCACCATTGTACAACATCGTCTCAGTTCACGATTCATCTCGGCGAATAGAGCACGAGAGAAAGGTAAGAACTGTCGATAGATACCGTTGTCGGGCGGGAACGCAAACGGTGTAACGGACGTTGGTATTGCTGGCTGGGACGGCAGCCCAGCTCCTGCTCCATAGCTGAATGCCAGGAAGGGAAACGGTGCAACTGACGTCGGTGCTGCTGGCTGGGACGGCAACCCGACTCCCAGCCCTGCGCAGGCCTTCTGGCTGGGGCTAAAGAGACTGGGGAGAGTCCGCTTGAGGGTGGCAGGCAAGATGCTGCTGGGTGTGCTTGGTATAGTCTGGTGGTTTCATCAAACTGCTGACGGATGCCAGCCGCGACCGTGCAGGAAGAGGGTGACGGATGGCCAGAGAGCCAATCTGCTTTTCGGAGTGTTTGGTTGCGGAGTTCAGATTGACGGCCTTCCAGGTGTCCCATGTCGACATTGTAGACGGGTTTCTTCTTCTGGTAGCCATCCAGTTTCTCGCTCTTGAATTTAGCTCTTGAATTTCTAGCAAGTAGCACGATCTCGCTTGAACAATGTCTCGTCCATCTCAGATGTCAATGTTTCACAAAGGCGAGCGAGCGAGCGAGCGACGGCACAGACTGCATTGTGCCAGACTGCGCTACGTTGCACTGACTGCGCTGGACTGCCCTCGAGTGTGTTTGATGGCCGAACTGTTGGGCTTTGAACGGTCTTCAAGCGCTTCGCACTGCATTCCTCGTCCTTGTCGTCCCTTCCATCCCTATCCTCGTCCGCGCGCTGAACATCCTTCACAAAATCCTTTCTTGCTTGAAGATGTTTCCTCCTCGTCAAATGGAAGTCCAAGTTGGCAGACGCATTCTTCTTGGTCGATCATTGGAGTCTTCGCAGTGGATGTCGAACCAAAGATGGTTGTGATTGCTGGCCGCAGGGTTGTGGTCTGGGAATTCGTAAAGGAGGAGACTCTGGAACTCTGTCTTCGTGTCTGCGTCTGTAGCTGCGGCGACGAGATCGAAGTCGTGCGTTGCTGATTTTGACGGGGAATCCGATGTTATACGAGCTGGTGGTTCCAGCCGGTGGTGTTGCACTTGGTTCTCTCCCCCAGCTATCTTACTTTCCCCAGCTCAACGCCCTCAAGGATCGCCATGACCACCCGAGGCTGAAAGGGGTTCTGGAATGGCCGCGAACCTCCAATCATGCTGTAGACACAGACACCGTATGCCCAAATGTCAGCCGCTGGGCGATACAATGGCACGCTCCACCAAGACATCAGCTTTGATGTATTCCGCAATTCGCAGGATCTCGGGACGGGAGCGACAGCCAACGCGGCTTTAAGAACATGGATGGCATGCCTCGGGGCGATCTTGTTCCCGGTCTCACACCCGGGTTCATCGCTCAAGGTGGAGGCGGAGGAGGAGGTCCTTATAAATGCCCAATTGTGTTGCTTATTGGTTATGCCCGCTGGTGCTGATGGCAATCGTAGTCCATTCCTCCTATGACATCAGCCTCCCCCACGTTTCGCCAGGGCATCATGAGCCCTCAAGCACCACATGGTGTTTGACACGTTATCTCGGCCGGTCAAAGCCTTCACTCGCGATATGCAGGAATCTGGAAAGCCAGTTCGGCTCAAACTTCGCCCAAGTGTGCCTGGAGTTTTGCTAAAGTAGAGGCTTTGAACCAATTAATGGCTCAATAGGCAATGCCCCTTCCTGGATGCCATTAATATCCCATATGTACCCCGAAAGTCCCTCGCCGTCCGAGTGGCGGCGGCTTCAAGAGGCTGTCTCGAGGCTTGAGGGGATTGAGCAGATGACCTACTCGCAGACCGGTCTCTAAGGTAGCGGAACATAATTTTCAGATCAGGCTCTCTCTCCCAGTATTGGCGGGGCCTTGGAAAGCAATACCCGTTTGCTTTCAGCCTTATGTACATTCCTTTGCAAAGACAGTTGGATTGTTAGAAGGTAACGGAATGGGTTCCTCGCATTGGCTCCAAGACAACTTCCGACACGTCATACATCAGACCCATCAGAGAGCAGCAAACAAAAAGAGCAAGCAATGAAGGCAATTCCCATTGAGAGTGGGCCCGTTGCATGCTATTGAATGCATGTCGCTGGTTTCCATCACAATAATAGTCGCCATATTCCATTATCCCAGAGATGGAAGGTTTATGATCGAACACGAGCGAGTGCACTCGAGTATCTGCGCGGGTCGCCTTCCGGGTTCTTCTGAGCCACGACGAACTGTGCAGGAGCCGGCACTGGCGGGTACACAGAATGAATGGATGCCTGTACGGAATTGATGCTGGTACATGCGAACGGCCTCACCGTGGTTAATGCCCGTCAAGATGGTATTGGCCGGCCAGTCATCCGCAATGGCCAAGAAGAGGCTTCAAGTCTCGAAGGAGATCAAGCAGGAGGAACACAACCTCGAAGGCATTGCCTTGGAAATGGCACGGTCAGCGAACAGAGTGCTAGTTGTGCTCGAAACCTTCTGTTCCCCCCCCCGTTACCGTTCATGCGGCGCCCTGCAGGCTCTCCTGCGATACACGAAGGGGTCAACTAGTCGGGGTCAACTGGTCGGGGGTCAACTGGCTCGGAACGTAATCGCTGGCACAGAAAAGTCTGCTGCAGCGACTCCACGCCGACCTCCAGCGTTTGGTTTGGTTTGTTGATGTTGTTGTTCTTGTTGGCAACCGAGCGAGACAGCGTTACGACCAGAACATCGCACCCATCGACGCTGACGACCCCTGGACAGGCCTCTGTGCGTTCTTGCACGTTGCATGCGAACGAATTCGATCCCCATACAATAGCAGCGACCAACCTTCGAATCTAGGGGGAGGAAAGCTGGATGGGGGGCCCCCGAAGCGAGACTCGGGTTTCCAGAGGACAGGGATGTGAAACAGGTGGGAAAAGAAGACCCTATGCAGAGCTTTGGCAGCGGGAGAGGTTGGCCGTGATGGGATACCGTATTTGGAAACGGGTGAATCAACGCTCCCAAAACCCGAGAAAGCCGACCGGCCAGGACGAAGATGCAAGGCTCTCCGTGGTCCATCAACTTGTTTTCCGCAGAAACAAGACGGGGGGTGTCTTATCCGCTGGAACGGCGGTGCCAGGAGAGGATTGGGCGGTGGGCAGGTGTCCATGCTGGCTCAGAATCTCGACGTATTCTGCTGCTTGCCTGGCAGATCCCAGATCGCGGGCGGAGGGGACAGTTGCGTATCTCGTGACAATTAACACAGGTATTTGACCCTGCCGACCACGGCGCGGACTGGAGCAGGGCCAAAGACGAGATCTGCCTTTGGGTTGAAGTCGTCGGCGTTCTTGCGTCGGCGGATATTGTCGAGGGCCTTTTCCTCCTCCCTGCATATCAGTCTCGCAACGTGCAGGATGGTCGCCCCCGCAACGTTGTAGTCCTCGGTGGCGTCATCGAGCTCTGTGAGTGCATGCTGCAAACTGACGGCTGGGGAAAGAGATCCTAACGTTTCGGTCCGTCAGGCCTTTAGTCAAGTTCATGGCATATCCCGCGAGCCCCAATGCCGGACCGGAAAAGGATAGGTTTCGCAAGAAAGCTGACATGATAGTGAGGTTGGCGATCACCGAGTCGAGCTATGCGGGATCCACGAGCCAGGTGTTTCGCGAATGTGTCGTTCGCATCTCCGTGGCATATTCTTCTCTGGGCCGGTTGCTTCGCCCACGATGCCGTGGCGAGAGGTGGCTGGATCGTCGACCTGCTCCCTCTCCTGTGAGATGCTGTGCCGTGATCAAAGCCTCGAGCCGTGTCCCACGGTGCACGAGGCTCTGCCATACCGGACGTCCAGAGAGACGTGCTCTTGCTGCCGCGAGACTCCCAAAAGAGAACTACGGGCGTCGACACCGGCATTGCGAGCAGGCCGACCTTCTGAAGCGCATACAGCATCTTCTTCGCTGCCATGCTGGGCCGGCCAGCGTATACCGGGAGGATGGGCGAGATGGCATTGCCGCTTTCAAAGAATAGACGATTGCCTTGTCGTCTCCAAACAGGGCTATGTTCAGCCAGCCATGGTCCATTCGAAAGTGATCTGGGTTAGCGCCAATCGCGCACCCGGATACATGGCATTTCCGGATGGGGGTGGAAATTGGCGCCTCTCCCAGTGTGTCGCTGCAACAGGTCATCCTCAACAGCCAGCGCGAATTTGAATCCACGGCCCGGAAGCATTGATGCAATGGTATAACCTAAGCGGCCCAGAACACGTCTCAATTCACTCCAGCGGCTTCTGGCTCAGGAGCATGGGAGGGATTGGAATGCGTGGCCCATAGCTTTTTCCTGCGTTCTAGATCTTCTGGACTAGGAAATCCGCTTGTCATCCGTGGTGACGTATTTGAGACCGTCTCGTATGCAAATGTAGCACAACTCCTCCCGAGTTCCATGCGAATATGGCAGCCTTTTCCTCAACATCGAGGCCGACCACGTGGAAATGAGTCTCGGCTTGGTTCCCCCCCTCCCTTACACGCGAGTGGCCTCATGTCATTGTTGACTTCAATATGCTTGCTGAGCTCTCTGCTTATAGCTCTGTCGCTTTCGAGGTTGAATCAAATGCAAAGTTCTTGTCTGTTGCGCAGCAAGGCTCCGTGTGCCGATTTCTTGTCCAACCTGGACGCACCAAGCCGATCGAGCGCCCGTATAATTGATCAGAAGGTGTGGTCTCTGTGACGGGCGAGAAGAGGGTTATTGGACACGAAGAGCCGGCGTTAGCACCATACATGACAGACATAGCTATTGCTCGTGTACCGAAAGGGAAAGGGCCGTCAGGTGGACACCCCACCTCTCGATTCACAGTTTGATCTCCGGAGGACAGGCAAATTCGATGGGTAGGTAGCTTGGGAGCCGAGTGACTTGTCGCCGCTGGCTGGACGATGACATTTGTGGATGAGGACGGCGTGGTACATGGATTCCACGGAAGCCGGCAACATTTTCCAGGCCCGTCGTTCTGGCACGAAATCACATCCCGTACCGGTCCATACGAACAAGCTCCATATCCGTCCCATCGAGCTTGCTCTTCCTTCTCCTGCCCGTACGGCAGAGGGCCCCGCGTAACGGGCCACGATACAGAGACCGAGATGGACGTGGGACATCATCGTGGATGACCGAGGACGTTCGGGACAACCTCTGCAGATGATTACGTTCGAGTTGTGGATGTCGACGAATCGACTGAACTTTTGACTGTTATTTCTGGTCCGAAAGCTCCTTTTTCTTGACATATACGCCATCCTTAATCCGGCGAGCGAGCCAGAGCCGTGTATGTGGTGCACATGAACCAGCAAGAGTAGAACAGGAGCTTCGTGCACGTATGCCTCAGCCCACACCGACTAGGGAGCAGTCTAAGGAATCCCCGGTCCGGAGAAAGGAGGTCACCGTCAGATCTAAGAGATGCTCTGGCTCAAGATATGGTGAAACTGTTAACCACCGAGCGGATTCCGGGTCGATTTCGACGTCTGTTTGGCTCGAATGATGCTCGACAGCAATTTCAGCAGGGGCCCCGTGAATCTTGGCCGGGGCACGGGAACCATGCACGCTCATATTACTCTTCCCATTCGTCTGCGGCTGTTGTCCAGGCTGGGTGGCTGCCATTTGGAACTGAACTGCGAATGCTTTTGAACGAAAGAACAACGATATCGTGGTAGACGTAGCAGGATAGGAGGAGGTCTGTCGGCCTGGAGTGTGGATAGATCTTGACCCCGGAAGGACCGTTGTGTAGGCAAGGAGAAGGGAGATTTTGGCCTTTGGATGCGTCTGTCGGGTCTCGTGCGGCTTCAGGCGCTCCCACGCAAAAGTGAGGTAGTCGAATGCGGCTTCGACTCTCTTCCAACCATTTTCCTGCTCCCAACGGTCAAAGTCGCTCGGCTTCAGCGTGGCTAGGGGTTGGGGGAGTGCGTGGGACTGGTTCATATCGGCGACCAGAAGCTGTAGCATGGCCTGACGGTCGGCACTAACAGACGAAGGTAAGCTTGTGGGCTCGTGGGCCAGGAAAGAGGGTTGGCTCACCTCGATTCCATGTCGAATTCGTGAGATATGCACTGGAGCACCGGCTAGATGTTCAGGTTTGGGCGATTTGCAAGTGTACAATGCACAACGGGTGTAAACGGCCTCCAAGTTTTCCTGACGAAAGGCCAAATGGCTGCTGTGGCATTCTCACAACCACGGATGGAATGCACGGGCCACAACGACATGGCGAGAATCCAACAAAGCAACACAAAGTAAAACACTGCATCGACTGCGCTGTGACGGCTCTGGTACTGACGTTGTTCACCCCGACACTATTCACATCATGTCCCGCGGGGCAGACAAAGTGTCCGGGGTCAAAGACAAAGAAAGGTGTCGGGGTGTGCCCCGTATGTGAACTAGTTGCGGTGGACAGACTGCGCTGGACTGCGATACACATTGGGCGAGTGAGTGAATCAGTCTGCGTCGAGAACAAAGACACGTCCAGGTGAATGCTGAGTCCCAGAGTGAGTGCTTGGTGAAAAAAAGTTCGAATTCCAGGAGTGCCTTTCTTACCCTCTACCTTTTTGCCCTCTACCTTCTCCCTCTACCTTCTCCTTCTACCCTCTCCTTCTACCCTCTACCTTCTACCTCTACCCTCTACCTTCTTACCGACCACCATAGTACTTCGGTACTATATATATAAACAATTCGCCTCTTAGCAGGCAAAGGTGTGTCTTATCCTGCCCCTCCTGCATCTATGCCCAAGCTAAGACTGACATGATGCCGTAGGACTGTCCGAACAAGGAGATCCGAGCCTGTCGCAACTGTGGTGACGAGGACCACATGGCGAAGGATTGTCCGACTCGTGAGAAGAGAACCTACCGTAACTGCGGCGACGAAGACCACCTGGCTCGAGACTGTCCTCAGCCTCGAAAGATGACATGCAATATCTGCAACGAGGAAGGTCATCTGGGGCGCGTAAGTCTCCATTCTCTCTCAGCTGTCCGTTCCGCTGATGTGGCCCTCCAGGAATGTCCCAAGAAAGGTGAAGCTGGTCCTCCCCGTCCTCCGCACGACTGGTCTCAGGCTGTCTGCAATGAGGAAGGTCATCTGGCTCGCGTAAGTCTCCATTCTCCAGGACGCCAGCAGTCCGTTCCGCTGAT